TTAGTGCTGGAAACTCTTATCAATGTAGAGATGTTTTCCTTATTGCTGAGCAGGGCTTGCACTGGGTCAAGGCCTTTTCTGCTCCTCACACCATCCCCCAGCAATCAGGGGGAGGAGCTGGCAAGAGACGCAGCCAGAACAGCTGATCCCAACTGACCACAGGGATATTCCAGACCATATGTCAGGCTCAGTATATAAATCTGAGGAAGAAGGAGGAAGGGATGGCATTTAGAGTGATGGTGTTTGTCCTCTCAAGTCACCATTAGGCGTGATGGAGCCCTCCTTTCCTGGAGATGGCTGAACACCTGCCTGCCCATGGGAAGTGTTGAATTGCTTTGCTTGTGTGCACAGTTTTTACTTTCCCTGTTAAATTATCTATACCTCAACTCTTGAGTTCTCTCACTTCCATTCTGTGGATTCTCTCTCCCACCCCTTTAAGGGGGACTGAGTATGTGGCTGTGCGGTGCTTACTTGTCAGCTGAGGTTAAACCATGACATCCATGTATCAGTGACATTGTAATTTACTGTCTTGTAGACTATTATTGGGTAAAACTACAAAGTAAAATCAGTGAGTTCATATAAACTTAAATAAAACTTGTCTAAATGTAAGCCTAGTGGTAAAGAATTTACCAAAGAGTAAAATTGTAACAGTGATTAAAATTATATCACGAATGCATAAATGAGCAACTGATGACAGCTGATGATTCAGTGTGGTTGCTGTCACTGTTGTATTCATCTCACAGGTTTTTTGTGACTGCTGCTACAACCTAACATATAGAAATATGCATCTACTGAAATACCACTGGGACTGACTTATTCTCATGCAGAAACTTTTCACTGAAAATGACAAAAGAGAGAACAAATTGTCATTGCTCTTCTTGGATAGGTCCTGAGAAACTCCTCAGATGTCCACTTAGAATCCTTATGACTTCTTTATTTTGTGTGTCAATTCATGTAAATAATTAATAATTACTTGATCTTCATTTAATTGTTTTTATTTAATTTTTTTTTCCTTTTTTTTTCCTATGAAGAGTAACCAATCTGGACATCTGTAGCCTTGCAATGAATTTGTCAACCAAGCTAAGCTACGCCATTTTCAGCTGTAGAAACATGTTGTCAAGCATTGGAACAGGCTGCCCGGGGAAGTGGTTGAGTCACCGTCCCTGGAGGTATTTAAAAGACATGCAGATGTGGCACTTAGGGACATGGTTTAGTGGTGGACTTGGCAGTGCTGGGTTAACAGTTGAAATCAATGATCTTTGAGGTCAGTTTGAATCTAAATGATTCTATGATTCTATTTTTCATTTTTTTCTTTCCACATGCATTTACATGAGATTTTCAGATTGAATCCAAGCAAGAGTGATCTACCACAAAGATATACCAAAACTGGTTCTTCCTATAGTGATATTTGATGCCATTTGAGAAACGGGCATTTAAAGGAGTTTTCTGTAGAAAATTACATAAATAGTAACAGGAGATAGAAATCAAGAAGATTCAAATCTAATTCCTGTTGACTCTAAATTATTTGAAAATTAGTTCCACTGTGAAATTTAACTGTCTCATCATGATGAAAATTAAATGAGTGCTTAAATGATGCTGTAAGATGTTCACAAAACACAACCTAATCTAGTAGGCTCTTAAAGTTCTTTGACATGCAAGTTCTGTGGCAGTGTACACAGAGTAAAATCATATCAAAGTCAAATTGCTTAAAGCCTGGTTTACAGCTAGACTCTGTCAAGATCGGGTAGCTATTCAAGACCATTCCCACTCGTGGGGCTTATATGACATGCTCAGATTGTATCTAGCCTCACCTAAGGGTCAAGCAAGGAGGAAGTGACAATTGTCTTTCCTATATCTGCTATGTCAGAAATCCACACAGATTATGGGAATGGCAGCTCTGGAAGACTTGGACTCAAAATCACATCCTTACCTTGCACTAAGTCATTTGATTGGTAGGCCTATAGTGCTTAGATATGAGGGCTCTCATTTTGGTTGTGCTCCAGCTCCCTGCCATAATTTGCAGAGAAGAGTTACGATCCTAAGAGGTTCTCTGCAATTCATCATGCTGCTAGACAGCCACAGAATGAGGATTTTCAGCTTACAAGTTCACCCATGTCACCTTGGACAGCCCGTGTTTTTGCTCCAGGAACATGCTGGGTTAGCGCATTCTAAATAAGAATGTAAATTATGTTTCCCTTTCCTGTGCAATGTTGCACCAATCCAGCTTTCAGTACAGCAGCTCTTCCTGACTGCATTCAATTCAAGTATGGGGAGTTTTACTACTAGTCTGGACACATTTCTGGTAAAAGGAAGTATGGTGATTTCTGAGCTTGCATAGTGGTAATAAGGATAAGAAATGCTAACCCAGGCTAACTGAGATCAACAAACCTCTTTAAAACTAAATTGTTTAGATGCTGAGTGCTTGCCTCAGAAACAGCTTCTCACCACTCCAGAACACAGTGTTCCTTTTGGTCATGATCATAAGTAGCCTGGAGATTTAGAGCTAGCAAATCAGGAGTTTGCATTTTTAAAACAAACTTATTGAAATTCAAAGAGCTGCCTCATAAGGGTTTGGCTTCTAATATCAATTCATAAACGTAGTAAGGATAATATACAAGTTCATTACAGGTGATTTTTAGCATATGATGGAAAGAGTGGTCTTGGAAGAGCAGGGAAGCAAAGTTTTTAATAGATTTGTCCAAAGTGTCCTGCCTGATACTTGGGGAATAGTGGAAAGAACAGACTTTTTTTTTTTAATACAGTGTTTGATGGGTTTACACACAAACGCACATGAAACCTAAATACTTATAAAGGTGTTATTGGAAAACAAAAAGTTCTTGACTGTTGAATAAGAATTTTGAGTTAGTGACCAGGTGTAATATCGAGATTTTTGTTGGACTCATGTTTTATCAGTAACAATCATCTAAAGCAGAATGCAGTCCTTTTAGTGCAGCCAAGTAACTAAAGAAAAAAGTCAGAGACTACTCTTAATACTGGTGAGGTGGTGCAAGACTTAACTTGAATTTTTCTTTCCTAAGAGAATTTTTTTTTATTTTTACTGTATGGCTTTTTTTATAGTATGGTTTTTAGATATGAAAATAGTCTGGTAGATGAAGTGATTGCAAAAAACCATATTATAGAACAGTCCTAAATTGCATTTGCATCGTAGCAAATGAGTTATGCAGCATTGCAGTGAAAGATATGCTACAAATCACATATACTTTCATTATTTTGGCTTTTTTCTTAATGCTTCTAATAATTTTTTTTTTGCCTCATGTACAAAATCTCATCACATAGCATTTTCACTTGTCAGAAAATTTCTGCGTTACAGGTTTTCTGCCAGAAAGGTGAGATTATAATTTAGATGATGTTCTTGATTTTTTTGTGGTTTTCTTTGTCCTACCCAGTTTCTGTTCTTGAATTCTAATTTCTGATAACGTTATTTAGGTCTTCATGAAATTACAACACAAGCCAAACTTATGTGGGGCACAAGCCATTTTTTGAATAAGGATATGAGTGTTGTGAATTCCTACACTGTTTTATCCCTGCAGGTTTAACATATTTGCTTCACAGAGAGAAAGCACATAGAAAGTTATCTTGCAGTGTCAGCTAAAACTACTTTCTTTGTTCTGTGTCTTGCTGTCTTTGTATTCAGATAAGCCTTATTAGATCAGAGACATTTAGTTTATGTGGATTAATAAAATTCAGGAGAAGAATTTTCCAGTGAATCTTGAAGGCAGAGTATGAATCCGGCTTACTTAGATGCAGAGAATGTTCTGAGAAGAAACATTACCTTATGTTGATGATAATCAGATGTATGTTGTCCTCCAGCTTATTACAGAGTGAATCTCAGCATTTTGCAGTTAGTGTTCTACAAAAAGAATATTATAAAACTTGATTGTCTTGTTTTTACAAACAAAGCAATAAGAACACCCACCCTAGTGTCTCAATGTTATCCAGAGAGATGTTGCTTTGTTGGTGGGATAAAAGGTTATTGGGAGCCATGGCAATACAGACTAGACCAAGCCCAAACTAGACTACAAGATCTGCATATAAATTTTTGTGCATGGAGTTGCAGGAGGAATTTTAAGAACAAAAATACGGAAAAAAAATGCCCCCTTCTCCATGGTAAACAACAATAAAATATATCTCTTAAGTCTACCCAGAATTTTTCTTTGCAATGATATTTGTTTTATTTTATATTTTGAGGCAGCTAATTTAATTAATTATAATTTTAATAAATTCTTATGCAGCAAAACAGGTAATTCTGTTCCCTATAAAATGCCAACAAAAATAGACTTTGTGAAACACAGCCAGAACTGGGTTTCATGGAACATAAATAGTCTTAGATATGTTCACAGGACGAGTGAGTGCAGAAAGCCACAGGTTGTTGTGGCTCCTATCCCAGGAGGTCTTTTTCTTCAGATCAACTCCTCTTTGCTTGCCCCCAAACATTCACTTGTAAGACCTGACCCCAAAATTTAGGTAGGAATTTCTTGGTGACTAAGCAGTATCATGACAGACTGAAATTCAGATGCCTTTCAAATGCAAAGTGAAATACATCAGAAAGAAGAATTTGGACCATTCTTCCACATTAGCAGGTCTGAACTAACAAGGAAAAAACAGGGACCAATGTAAGCAGCTGAAAGGAAATTTCTCTTTAATATCCATCATTAATCAAAAACCCATATGAAGAATATGCATAAAGAATGGAAAGAAGGAAAATAAGACGTTCAACAGACAGAAGACTGTCTCTCACAGAGCCAGCAGGAAAGCAGGGTACTTAATACTCTGTAGTGTTTACTCAACACTGTAATGAAGATAGCGTACAGTTACTGGAACTTTTCCAGGTTTTAAGACTGAGAAATGCGACCAGCTAAGCAGAAAAACTGTATGCAATGCTGATTTCTTGTTTTGTTTTGTTCAAAATCTTCCCTGTTATGAATATCATTTACTCAAAACATGAAGAAATTAATGTTTACCCTTTGTGTGCCACCCAGAACCTGAAGCGAGTGGCTGAGACGTGGATGGATGAGTTTGCAGAGTACATTTACCAGCGACGGCCTGAGTACAGACATCTCTCAACTGGTGACATCTCTGCCCAGAAGGAGCTGCGCAAGCACCTTAAGTGTAAAGATTTCAAGTGGTTCATGGCTGCAGTGGCTTGGGATGTCCCCAAATATTACCCTCCTGTTGAGCCTCCACCTGCTGCCTGGGGGGAGGTAAGGAATAGATCAAATTTAAATGAATCTAACATTTTAGATTGTGGGAAATTAAAATTATTAAATCAGAGTAAACCTGATGGTAAGTAGTGTTATTAAGGAAGTTCACAGTGGTTGAAACAATCCCTGAACTATCCATTAAAATGAGAAACTCTCATGTCTAAGAACTGTAACTGTTGGTTTTGTAACTCATTAAAACTTTGTGTGTACAGGGCATATGATGTATGCCAAATGAGGACAGGAGTGAGGAAAAAAGTATGTAGCACTCATTACTGCATGTCACAGAAGATTTTAGATTCAGAAAATCACCTTAGTAAAAAGGAGGTCTGAAGCCACTGCTTTGGGTTTTTTGTATATCTACTGGCATATATCCTTCTGTCCTTACAAGGACAATTGTGTGGACATGGAGTTAGGTTTGCTCACGTGTGAAATGTGACAAGCAAGGCCTGGATACTTTCCTTTGAAAACGACTGATTTTGCTCAGCTGTTCACTACATGCTGTAGGTGCTGTCATCACTGAATACCAGTAGCAGACAAATACAATATGTTCATTGATGGATGAGGGAAGAGAGGGACCACAAAAGAGAAGCCAATATCTGAGCATCAATTCCAGAGCAGGGACTGAGCAAACAGCCAGCTGCAAATTTCGACCTGTGATCAAAAATGTTCTGCAGTCATACCTTTCTGAAGAACAGAGCTGTAGCAAGCCTTGCTTTGACAGTTTTTGTGCAGAAGAAATGAGAACATACAGAGTGCTGGGAGAGGAAATTACTTCCTTACTTGCACTGAAAAATTGCTGTGGCCTTTTGCCCCAAGAGCTGCAGCAGCTTCACGCCATGGAGAGGTCACAAGCAGAGGGCTTTTTCCTCTCAGTTCATTAAGATATATAAAGAAGGCTTCACTCTTCCAGTGTATTGTGCTATTTTTTAAAAAACCATAGTCATATCTGTACTGTGAGTTCTAGCCTTCTCTGATTTTTTGGGAGATGTTCTTGGGGCTATAAGAAAATTAACTTACGTTGAAACTTTGACCAAGACATTTAGTAAGATCAGACACAAGTCTGTATATTCCCAGTCGTCAAGAGTGAACCATAGGCTTCTAGACATAGGTACCTCTACTATTCTCCATAATTTCTTTATAGAAAGGCAAATTACCTCATAGTGAGCTTTTTAAAATAACTTTCTCTGGTACTAGCAGTCCTTAATTTTTCTTTATAGGCTATCAGTTACAGACGTTCAAAAAAACTCCAATATATATGTCTTACTGTTTGCTACTGCTTGGCAGTAATTAATTCCTTTGTTGTTTAAGTTTCTTCTTTTTGGTCCTGATACCCAAGCTTTATGAGATTAATGTGTACTGAGAGGTATGGAATTTATCAGTAGAAGTCAGGCTGGATCAGATTGCTGTGATTTCTACTGTGATCTTCCTTCACCTTCACCTTTCTTCCTTCACCTTCATCTTTCACTTTAATATATGGGTGTCCCTGGAGGACTGGGATCAGGAGATGTGTAATTTCTCTGGCCAGCTGGACAATTCTTAGCTCAGTCAAAAGGGTCTAAGAGGAGGAGCTTGTGATTCATTCTTTTCACAGCAATATTAATATAATCTCTGCATAAACCCAAGTATTTTTTAACTTTTTTATAAAGCAAAATCATATCAGTAGTGTGAAATCTGTGTCTTAAAAGCATTTACTAAGTTCTTAGGAAGGATGTGAAGACCAAAGATTTTCTTTTTTGTCTAAAACATACTTTCTCTAAAATAACAGGAAGAGAACTTTCAGCCCTACTTCTCTTGTTTTTTTCTGAGACTGTCACATTCCTGTGCAGTTCTAATTAATTTGTTGGCACTTGTGAGGATCTTGAAAAACCTTGAAGGTCAGTGGCTGTGAGAAACTGAAAGAGGGAAGCAGACAGTAATGTTACTGCTTTGTAAGAATCATGCAGCTCTAGAAACCTTGCTGATTATACACACCAAAAGTCTGTGCCAACAGTGACTGTCATTTAGTACCCTCTTTGCTTCCATTTGGAAATACTTTACATCTGCTTGCTTATGCTAGTCTGAGAAAGTAAACAATGAAGTACGCAGACAAGTTTGGCTCTAGTATTTTGATATCTATCTAGGAAAAGCATGTGGTGTGAAAGCAGACATCTCATAAACAGACTCTGCTCAGCTCCTCTTTTTTTGAAAACACATTTATTTAAAATCTGACTCTTACATTTCTTGAAAAAATGTGTTTATGATACAAAAGAAGGACATTTGGAAAACACAAAGCAATGTTTTTTACTACACTTGTCATGGCCTTATCTCTTATGTGTGTATGTGCCTTTTGTCCTTGTAGCTGGCAAGGTGTACATACCCTTGATAATCTGTTCTGCCTTGTAACATCTGAAATATGTGCCGTAGAGCATTGTAACAGCAAATCCAGACAGATTAAGGTTAGTAAGACTGTCAGTTCTGTGTTTGAGTGAGGTAACTGTACTCTTTTCCACCATGGAAAAGAGGAAAGTTTTCAATTAGGTTTTTTCCTTATTCTTTTGAATATACTGGGAAGTCTGGTACCAGATGAAAGCAGTAATACCCATCCCATGCTCTTTCTAAGACAGAATAATTTATTTGTAATGTGTATTTGAAGTCCTACTACCTAAAACAATAGGTGTGAATTGGACACGAGGTGTTTTCTTAGGAAGTACTCATGAATCTACAATCTGTGATCCAGCATGAATATATTGTGCAGGTATCACAGTTTCCAATATCTTTGAAAACACATTTTACAGTAAATAAATCATATAATATCAGACATTGTCATTTATTTTAGATTTCACTAATTCTACAGTCAAGGTGGTGCAAAAAAAGTTGTTTTACTTAGTCAAAAGTCAAAATTTAATCTTGGTTTCACTTGCTGTTACATGAACTTCAATAATTTAATGAGAAAGTGTCTCAGTCGCTGCAGCAGTGCTATGCTGTAGAACCCGAGAATACTCCTTTCTCAGCCCCACACTTATGGATTTTACAGAACTGTTTTACAGCACTGACATGAAAATGTCGCACATAAAGTCAAGTGGCACATTTGAAAAAAGATGAAAGCCTAAGAACTCACTAACTTCTCTTTTGGTTATTTTCCTTTTTTTAAAACGTGTCATCCTCATACCCTTAATGAGTCAATCTGAGCCCAGCAAGTGTCATACATCTGTGGTACAAAAGGGATATAACCCCACCCTGCACAGACCGAGTGCTGCACAGCTGGACTGTTCAAATTCTTTTATCAGGATCTATGTCACACTGAATAAGTGTTTCTTCAGTGAGGTTCTTGGCAGTGCTTGACTTCTTTACCTTTGACTTTTTCTTTTTTATAGCTCACACAAAGGATAAATACTTCTAAAATTACTGTGTATCAGTTGACAGGAGAAGTGGCTCATTTTTCCATATTCGATCCATAGACATTGATGGCCCTAGGGTTATCTGAGAATGTAAGCAGTGTACTAAAAGTGTCTCTAAGTGCTGCTCAAACAAAAAAAAAAAGTAACATAAATGAATATTGCTAATTTCTTCTAAGAGTTAAGGCCATTTTCATATTTAAGACATTAAATCAGATGTAGGGAGAGTATTCTACAAACTGATTGCACAAGGTGCTTCTGTTGTTGCTGTATCCCTAGGGATTGTCCTAACACCATCTCCACAGTCATTGTTCACAGATGACCATGTTGAACCTACAGTTGTCTTTAGATTGCTTCACTTTCCCTCTTTCTGCTTTTGGCAGAGACAGTTTCATGTCATGATGAGCATGCAGGGCAGCTCCCAGAACCCCTGGGAGCTTGGCTGTCCCGCTCCACCTCACCCCTCCCTGGCTCCATGAAGGCTGAAGTGACAGCCTGGCTCCATGAAGGCTGAAGTGACAGCCTGGCTCCAGTGCAGGAGGGGCAAGGCTGCAGGAGCCAGGACATCAGCTACTACCTCAACAGCAAGTCTTGCAGGAACTCATTTGCCTGGGAAAAGTTGTAGAGTTTTAGAACCATCAAAGAATATTGGTCAATATAACTGCTGGGCTCTAGGAAGCTGTATTCTCTATGCTTCTACATCTCATCTGCTCTCTGTAAGGACTACAGTGCCCAGAGTGAGTTAGGATGGCATTTCAAGAACTAAGTATAAATAATGACTTACAGATAGTGTCCTGTGCTTCTGTCAGAATTTGTTTAATTCTGAAACAGCCTTTAATATCACCACTGACCATCCTTGTCAGTCCATACATCAAAGTCCTTGGAAGTGTGATTTTCCTGTATGCTTATCTGTGTGTACAAATAATGTCATTTAAGGCTGAGCAAAAATGTTTTGTATGTCCCTACATGTATGGCTGATAAATTCTGCCTCCTGTTCATCCCTGGTCTTACAGTTGCATAAATAGGAATGTTGGAAACATGTTAGGATCACTAGCTATTTGTTTTTTCAGTTGTAACTCATAACATCAAAAATCCTAAATCCATTGTGCTGTGTGACTGAAGACAAAGCAGTTCAAAAGCATATTCCTGTATAAATGAGAAAAAAAACCCAAAAAACCTCTGTGTTTCTGCTTTCCTTCCTTTGTCCATGGAAGCATATTAGGGGATTTGCAGGCTGTGTGGTGCTGATGCTTGGCAGAATGTTCCCCGTGGCTCTGGCTCTGGCATGATGGCTCAGTTCAGTTTCTAGCAACTGCCAAGGCCACACAGAAGCGCTAGAGAACAAAAGCACAGACTTAACTGAAATGCCTTATTACAAAAAGAAAACAAAAAAACTAACCATGACCCCTCTGCAGCTGAAAGGATGAAACGAAAAAAGGTTGAGCTAACATGTAAGCTGCAAAAAAACACAGGAAAAGCTAACTCAAGCAAACCTTTCAGGAGCAGAGGGAAGAGGGGAGGAAATAAAGAACGTGAAACAGATTTCAGCAGTGAAAGAACTAACTGTAGCTTCAGCTTAAGCCTTTTCCAGAAATGGACTGAACACATTTTCTGCACAGTCCAAATGACAGAGACTAGGATGGAGCAATGCCATCAAGACAAAATTATGAAAGCCTTTTAATGCAATAAGCATAATTGGATGTGGAGTGTATTCACTGTCATTTCACAATTCTGAATCACATAAATATCCCCAATTATTAATGGCAATTGTTAGCAGTTCCATTTTAATTAACTTGCATGCTGTAAGAACTGAACTGATGTATCATTTAATTTTCTATTAGACCAGAAATCTTTATCTATACAATAGAAATATAAGTGCATTGAGAAATTATTGAACATTCTCAAAAAAAATTATACTTGGAGAAGGTATTTCACATGAAACTTTAAAAATATGACATTAAATTCTATTCCCTTCATTATTATTTCCTGCCTCTTTTGCTGGTTGAAAATGAAGGTTGCTGAGAACTAATTACCTTTCATCTTTTTTTACTGTGGGGCTGCCCAGTGCTGGATTTCTGTATCTGGTTGTGTGTATGAACAGCTAGTGTTTTACCTTATCTTTAGCAACTTTTACTGTATTGAAAAAAGAAAAACATATCCTAGGACTGGGCTGAGCCAATTTTTTTTTTTTTAATGCTTCTCTGAGCTCTGGTGAAGGAGCAAAGGTTCTGGAGGTAGTTGTTCAAACTGATGCTTCCCCATCTTTTTCCCAGTCTACAAATTTCTAAGCTAAGAAAATGTACCTCCTGAAGCCTTTCCTGAGAGTGACAGTTTTTACATTTTCTCACTACCTGTTGCTTTCCCATCTGTGTAAATCTTTCTTGATTATGGTTAATGGACTCGATTCCACACCTCCAGAATCAGAAAAAGAGCAGAGTATCTCTGGCATGTGTCTTGCATGCCCAAGGATTTCCCTTCCTTGCAATGTTTTGTGCAATGCTGAGAAGTTTTCCATCCTTAGGATGTGTGTGAGGTATGCAGTGGCAATGTGTACATTTGTCCAGCATATTATGGCAACATCAGTAACTTCTAAAGTATTTTTCAGGAAAAAGCACAAATGGCTACTCAATTGTTTCTCCATTCAGCATCTAGCTTTCTTTTAAAAAGGATCAAAGTAGCATCCAGAATGTCAAAAAATGCTCTCTATATAGTATACATTTATAATTTGTGCATGTTTCCATGCACTTTGATTACTCAGTTTCTATTTACCTCATTCAGAGGGTAAGTTTTTTGAAGAAATCCTTTTTGTTATGGGGGTGTCTAAAGGATTTTTAACTAGCCCAGCTAAGGTACTCAAGGAGAAATGTGCATGGATTTTAGAATCCATTAGGATTTTGCTCATTTTGGTGGCTGTTCAAAAATCTACTTTTCAACCCAAAGTTTCAAAGAAAATTTACATGGCAGCAGTAGTACATAACTGGTATAATTGATAGTCACAGATTAATTATTACTCAATTGCTTCAGCCTCAAGAACAAGATTTTCCTTTTAAGAACAATTTACACTGCAATGTTTGCAGCAGGCATGCAGGAAGAACCTCCATGGGTAAGCATAGGTTTCAGTACAGATTTATTAAGTACTTTTTAAAAGCCTAAGTTTCAGTGCAGATTTGTTAAGTACTTTTTAATTTTATGCACTTCAGGGAGTAATGTGTGACCTTATTTACAATGGTGTTATTGTGTCAAAGAAAGAGCATGGATTGGAACAGGGCATGCCTGAATTTTGAATGCATACTGACTGCTCCCATGCCTGGGAGAGACTCGTAGAGAAATCAGTTCCTTCTAATACTGTTGATCTCTCTTGCTCTCACAGGATGGAAAAAGCAGACAGACAAGTTTTGAACTTCTCAGACTCTTTTTCTCTTAGTTTTTTTGCATGAAGATATTTCATAAGACCTACTTTTCATTGTTAAGCAGAATATTTCAAGCTTTGCTTCTTCTGAAGCTGCTCCTAAAAAGAGTAGTTCATTCCAGGACATGGCTCTCTACCCTGTTAAAAGTAATTCTTGCCAGTTTCACATAACTGATGGTCAGTCTCAAGTCCTTAAGAGCTAAACTCCAACCCCCTTACGTTGAAAGCTCAGTTCTGCAGCCCAGTTTAATGTGAAATGTTGCTGCTTGGTTTTGCAGATTCGAAACGTGGCAGCCAACCTCTGTGTGGACAGCAAACACGGAGCCACGGGGACTGAGCTGAGGCTGGACATCTGTGTGAAGGACGGCTCAGAAAGAACATGGTCACATGAACAGGTATTTTAATGGTGGAAAGACAAAAACCAGGGTAACATTGTTGCTTCTCTTTCCCAGTTTTTAAACATTTTCTGAGGGCTTATCTTTTTCTTAAGGTAAAACAGAGTGTAAAAATAATTTTTTAATTATTACTGACCTTAATGGCTTTTACAAAGTACTCCTTAACATAACCTCAGAAATTCCAACAGCTACCTGTGCTGTCTTCATTTCCAAAAGGAATTGCAATGCCCAGAGAGCTTTTTGAGGCCCCATTCTCCCCTCCTGTGTCATGAAAATATTTTGATTTTGGTTGAGTTACCTGAAAATATTTTAACTATAGTACCAGGCCTTTTAAAGCTCCAGACATTGTCTATTTTTATTTTTATCTCAATAAGCAGTTATATTTTAAACAAATATGAAGCATAAGTGAGATGAATGGGTAAAAGCAAGCAAAAAAGCATTCCAAAAGACAAGGAATCATAAAGACTCAAAAAAAGCTTTTATTTAGGTTGGTTAGGTAGAAAACTATTAGTTCTCAGGCATTGGGAGGAAAAGAACTCTTATTTTTACTCATTGTGAGTGCCATAGGAAAAGGATGATGACTTTCAGGCTGTGGGTCTTGCCAGTGTGAGCAAGGAGAATCCAGATGAAAAGTACAACTCAGCCATTTATTAGCAAATTTAGGGAGCGAGTTTTTCACAGGAAAAGGTCCCAGATTAGTAAAAGATTCTTAATGCTGAGGAGAAGAATTGACCTGGCAGTCACACATGACACTTAGTAAAAACTTAAAAACTCAGGAGAGAGGAGTCCTGAGGGGTATTTGAAGTGCTGAAGTCAAAAAAACATACTCTGAGGATACCGAGAAATGCAGGAGAGCTGCAAGTGCATGAAACTGAGAAGTTCTGAAGGATTATCTCAATTTAGGTAAGTGCCAACATGGCAAAAAAGGAAGTTGCTGAAAGATGTCTTTGGACAGCTACCAAAGATACTGCATGGGGATAGGGTGCCAAGACTAGATAAACATAATTCTGTTTATGGCATACAGTAATTCAAGCAGTTAACTGAAGGAAGTTCTATGGTCCAGACTAGACCCATCATAGCATTCTCTGGCTTTAAAATCTGCAGAGCTCCAAACCCTCCTCAAGAAGGGACGGGGGGAATGCTGAGGCTGGCAGGTACAATAAAGGAGGGAAAAAAAGTTTGATGAAAAGGTGAGAGAAGAAAAAAATGTTAGCAGAGAAATGGGCAGCTTGAAATATCCTTTGAAAAAGTAAAAGCTGGAACAAAGGGGAAATGGTACCAAGGGAGAAGGGAGGAATTCATATTTCAGCTTACTCCAGGGTGCTGCAACGTTTGGGATCAGTCTGGATCTAAAGGTCTTACTCTGTGCTAATGACACAAAGTGACTTCATTGGAATCAGTAGGTGAAGCTAACATGAAGGGAGTTCAACCAGCCAGCTCCTCAGATCCCAGAACCAGAGCTGGGAAGCCTCAAGCACTTCGGTGCTCGACGCGTGCCCCAGGGAGACAACACGAATCGTCTCCGCCGGGCTGCTGGGGAGGAGCGCATACTCTCGCATTGCCGGAGAGCGTGGCGAACTTCCCGGGAGCACCTCACTCATCCCTGCGGCTGCGGTGCGGCGCGGCGGGCGGCAGGGGGCAGCGCGGCCCAGCGGAATGGGCCCGCCGCGGCACCGGCCGGCCGCCCTCGGGGCCTGCCGCCAGCCCGGGGAGCGCCCTCAGGGCCGGCCCTGCTCATGGCCACAGCCCCTCAGGGCCACAGCCCCTCACGGCCACAGCCCCTCGGGACCAGAGCCCCTCACGGCCAGAGCCCCTCGGGGGACAAAAGCCCCTCACGGCCAGAGCCCCTCAGAGCCAGCCCTGCGCTGTTGTCACGCTCGTCTGTGGGGCGTCAAACCCCGGGCCAGCCACACATAACTCTTCTTCCTTCTTTATATCTCACGGAATTTGTTGCCTCCATGAGTTCTGCATACACTAGTAGAAACTGGCAGTATTAATGAAGGTATCAGGTATTCTGTTATCATATTTTGAATAGCATGGATTGATGCTGAGCTGAACTTGTAACGTCTGGTATAAATTTAGAGAGTTCAGTGGCAAGGTATAGAAGGTTAATGTGACCAGTCCGACAGGCATCAGTGCCAGGCAGAGATGATTCTTTGTGCCACTTGATTCATGTCATGTTACCAGGGCAGGAATTAAAAGCTGACAGTCCCAGCCACCGTGCGAGGGGCACAGCCCTTTAGCAGACCCCAGGAGAGGAAGACGACCTTCCACCTCAGGGCTGTGCGAGCCCCGCTGGGCAAGCAGCAGTCAAAAGCTTTGTGGGGCGATTGCAGGCTTTCTGGTAAACAGGAGATGGGTAAGAAGTGAGGATGTGTTGCTGTGGTTTCTGGAAGCATTCCCAAAATTAAGAACCAGAGGGGAAGAAAAGGGACAGAGGATATGTAATAGCACTGCATCCTTCCATCTCTGTCTTCCCAAAGCTAGCTTTTGGCTTCAGGAGAAACTGAGGCTATGCTGGACAGATAACCAACAGCAAAGGAAAATAGCAGCTATCTTTTATCAAGTTCCCCAGCCTTGCCAGGGAATGGGTGAACAGGCACCATCTCTAACATGGCTCAGCCAGTGCCCAGCTCTTTCTTCTCTACTTGGAGATATCGCTCAAGCCAGAGCCCAGCTGTGAAATGTATTATTTCATCTTTGGATGGGGGTACGTGTTGTCCCCTCAAGTGTAATGGCACAGTCAAAGCACAGCGCCAGCTGACGGACCCCAGCCAGACAGCGAGTAATTGAGCAACGTTGCCAGGCTGGAAAGCATTAATGGCATCAAAAGGGCCTTTGTCCTATAGACAGTCCCAGGCCAATGGCTCTATCAGGCAATCATTCTTCAAGGACCTGTGCCAATTATAAATGAAGCTGGAAAGCTGTATTTCCCAGTTACTGCATGACAGGGCTGGGCTACATGAAAAGGCAAAGCATGAGGGCTTGAGGGGTTGCTTGATTGCAAATGCAGAGGATGAGGCTGTGTTTTACAGATTCTGGTATGAGAAAAGGTGAAGGAGGAGAATGAACGTCCACTGAGCCAGGACAGAGTGTTTCTTGGGTCCAGCAGGAAACAGTGAACAGCAACCCTATGTGTTACAGGTGAAGAATCAGCCTGCTGTTTGTTAATAATGTGTCTGGGAATTTTGTGCAGCCTTGTTTCAAATCAAGAAGTAGTCAGAATGAATGAAGTACAAAAAGGCTCAGCCATTTCTTGTAAAATCTGACATAGTTTGTTCCTAACAAAGGAACAATAAAATCCAAAGTGACAAGTGGTGGCAAAGCAGAGCATTATGTACTCTGGGCTCCAGCTGATAACATGTAGCATTGTTGGACATTATGCAGTAGAGAGATAATTTTTATGTTTGCCAGATTCAGTGTTAACTAGAGGAAAATTGCTGTTTAAAAGAAGAAAGTTTAGAATTATGAGACTGGATATACTGTACACCTTCATGTTGTGTCTGTAATTGCAAGATCTTAATACTAATTGGTTATATGGAGAAGTATAACCTTTTTTTTTCTGTTTTTGTTTTTTTAATTCCTCTTCTCTCTTCTCTCTCTTAGTCCTAAAACTGACTTCCTGTCCCTAATAAAGTTGATTCTATAATAATATCACTAGGGAGAAGACAAACTTGTTGATTTAAAAATAAAACAGTTTTTTAAAAACTGGAAGATAAAGGAGGAAAAAGAATCTAAGCTAGTCTAAACATTGAGATCTAGTGTTACACAGATCCTGGTTTTCAGTGGAAGGGAATAAAACCCCCCTACTGTTACTATGTCTTGACTTGCAAACAGGACACAGCCCTGGCAGTCTTCAGAAACCACAGAGGAGTGGAAAGAGCAAAGTCTGGATCAGTATGATCTGGTTTAAAGGCTGGCTTGAGCTCTTTCAGGTGTACCGATGCATTCAGTGGGGTAGTAGTTCTCAGGCCAAGGTCCAGAGAGCAGCAAGAATTGGTCCCTCAGCTCACCACTCATGTACAGAATGAGAAATTTGGCAAGCCACCCACTGGGAAAGATGAGGATGGTCCTGAAATAGGATCTCTCTCTGCAATAGTGGCAATGAGAGTGAGAATATCACAGAAGCACTGTTCCACACCATTCCCCTAGGTATTTGTTATTCATCACTTTGCACTCTAGGTTTATTACGTGTCTGTGGAAAGGTAAAGGATAAGATGGAGAAAATGGCTTTTGTTGGCTTTTCATTAAAGGAAAATTGTCTCAGGCTTCTTTTTTCCTGAAGAAACAGCAGTATAGTTTTTTCCTGTACCAAATCTTACTCATGTCTTTGCTTGTGAAATGATAAGTTATTGTAGGGAGACCATGATGATGCTTCAAAGAAATGTGAATAAAAGTGGAAAAAAGACTTAACCTTTTGAAAAGCAGAAACTGCTTTGAAAATAAGGTTAAAGATGTCCACTGCATTTTACTGCAGATAAATGTAAAATGCATTCTGGGAGATGGAAGACATAACCAGGACACAGAGACAGATTAAGAAAACATTCCCTAGAAAACCTCTAATGCAGATATAAATAGGGAGTAACAGCAGCTAACAGAGAGAACGAGGGCTTACAATAAGACACAGGAAAAAAATGGTAAATATTCAGATATTTGCTTATATTTAGGACCTTTAAGCCAAGAGAGACAGTAACACCTTTCAGATGCAGTATTCAGAGGATGGTACAGCACTGAAGATACAGTATTTTTAAGAGGTTTTTCTTTTAGGAAGACCATGGAAAGAAGGTAACTATAGCAATGAAAAGGTTAAAACTTGGGAACCACTGCAGAATTGTTCAAGATCAGATCCACATGATATTTATTAAGCTTCAATTTATAGCTGATTCTATCAGGGAATATACACAGTGGAGGAGCAGGGTGCTAGATAAGGGCCAAAAGGAAGCTGAGATGAGGTGTTGGAGACAGTCTCAATTCAGTGTGGGGAGCTGAACTCAGTATGGGGAGCCGCTTCTCTGGACAACAAGCCTGCCTGCAGTTCCACTTGAACCATTTCAGCTGAACAGTTTCTACTAGCAAAGTTTGCTTATTTAAAGAGAGCTTCACTTTCTCAGTGTTACATTTCTTTTTCTTTTTTTTTCTGTGGCAAATCAAAAGTCACGCAGAAAGCAAAAGAATAGCACTCACTCAAAAAAAAGAAAAGAAAAAAAAGAAAGAAAAGAACCTCTCAGCTCTTGACAGAACTTCTAGGTAATAATTTACAGCCTTCAACCTCTTTTCTGCAAGGATTGGTCCATGGAAAGGAAAATGCACTCCACTTCTTTAAATTTGATGCTGTCATACCTGTCACCTTCATCTGATGATTGAAAGACTGCAGTGTCACAGCATCATTTCAGACAGCTGGTGTCTAATTGAGAAGGATTCCTCTATTAGCTGTGACCCTCCATGACTCCTCTCAGGCAGTGAGAAAAAGGTCTTTGACAAGCTGCCTGTAGCTCACAGGTTTCACAGCAGAAAGATCATTTAGCATGTGTTGTTTGCGGAAAAAAGACAGTTGAGAGAGGCAATGGTAACAGTGTCCCCTGTAAACAGAAGGAAACTGTTCGTTATACATAGGAAAGAGTCTGTGATGGGAAGATCTCTCTGGGCAGCTTTTTTAGACCCAAATAAGAGCTAAAGGAACATCACTGCTGGCAGCTTTCTGACTCCTAGGTAGCTGAAACACTAGTGCATACAGGTGCTGCTTTAACTGGGGTAACTAATGGCTTTAATACAGCATGTCCCCTCTTGTCTCTGCAGTACTGTGTCACTAGAGACTTTATCCTTCCCTGACATCAGGATTGTGCCTTCCTGGGGTACATTCCACATGGCTATTGATGCACTTTAGTTAAGGCTGTTGGCATCACTGAATCATACACAAGGCAGGACCTTGTTCAACCAGCATCTGGGATGTGCAGAAAGGGTATTCTGCATTAAGTTTTGCGTGTTATTTTAAATGTTTTTCATTAATAGTATATCATTGTACTGTCTGATTGTTTTCCCAGCTCTTCACCTTTGGTTGGAGAGAAGACATCCGCCCTGGGGAGCCACTACACACCAGGAAGTTCTGCTTCGATGCCATCTCACACAGCAGCCCTGTCACACTGTATGACTGTCACGGGATGAAGGGAAACCAGCACTGGAGCTATAGGAAGGTCAGAGTCACTGTGGGGCATCTTGGAGGTTCAGACCATCTTGAGTCTAGTTTAGCACAGGCTTGTGCTTTCACATCAAAGAAATTGTGTTTCAAAATCCACCACATCCTATTCCAATTTAATTTTGTGGTAATCTCTCTAGAATATGTTCCCTTTGAGCATTCAGATATTTAGGTCAAATTTAAATGAAAATGGATCCGATCCAGCTCAGAGGGTGTCTGTATTGGATCTGTTCCCTGAAAGGTGTTTTACCATTCTGGCACTTCAAGATGCTTGTGTCATTTTAACAGAGGCACTGTTGGAAATATTTTCATCCAATGTGACAGCAGCAAGACACGCTGTTCATGAGTTAAATGTACTTTACTACATTTTAAAGATTATAAGCGGCAGAAAAATCTCCCTTAAAAGACCAAAATAAATAAACAAACAAAAGGAACCAAACTAAAACAAAACAAAAACAAAAAACCCATCCAATATTAAAAGCACTGCTGTAAGCCCAAAGGAGACAGGAGTTTATAAACTAAAGATAAGCAGCTTAGACACTACTTTGATCTGCTGAATTTCAGCCCATTTCTATAAATCACTGGAAACAGGAAGTCAAGTGAGAGACTGTCAGAGCTTCAGTTATGGTAAAAAGTCCTGGTAATGCTACTGATTTGTTGTCGTTGTTGTTAGGGTTTTTTAACAGTTAATAAGCAAGTTGCCTTGATTAAAGATTTCACTAATAAGCTCTGTGTTCCATTCAGGATAAGGATTTCTCTGAAGCGCTGAGGATTTCTCTCATACATGCCTCAGTCTTTGTTGACCATTATGCCTTGCCCTTCACCTTATTGAAGCTGAGGCTAAAGTACCAGGAATTGGTCTTTGCCAGATAAACCTCAATACTGTTTTATAGTTTGAAAATATGTATAGTAGAAAACTAATTCAGAACCATTAAAAATAGGTTTGACGTGATGCTTTTTTCTGAGTGCCTACTTATTAGTTTGTGCCTTTTTACCTTATTTATGTTGCAAATCAAGGTCCACCATAAGATTTTCCTGAAATGTAATCCCCTTGAAGCTGAGGTATTACTTGTAAGAAAGTTAGAACATATGGGGAAGATATTTGGAGGATATAAATTGTGGTGGTTGTATTGCTGCCTATCTGACTTTATAATGCTGTAATAATCTATTCTGCTTCAAAACCCTTCCTATTTATCTTTTTGCCTACCCAAGCTGCAAATCAAAAAGTGCTCATACCTTTAGCATTTCATTGTTCCTTAATATAGCTGGTTCATAAGACAAAATGCAGGTCTGGAGCTACCGTCTGTAAGGCTCATCACCTTTGATGAGGACAGAATATAGCAGGTACCTAGAAAAAAAATGACATTTGGAAAAAATACATGGTGTAAGTTTTATTGAATTCTCTGCACAGCTTCATTTTTAATTTCCAGAAGGCTGACAGGGCTCATATAAAAATTCTCAATGCGAGACAGGCATTTCTATCTCAGCAAGAAACACCACAAAGTTTTGTTTTGATGGAAGTACTGACACATTCCTAACTGTAATCCCAACCTGACAGCAAACTGGTCAATTTGCATAAACCTTCAAGTTAAGAAACTGCACTGGAACAATAGACCTACATATACATGGTTTTCTGTAAGTTTAGTTTTAGGTTGCTACATAGTAAGTATTTTTCAATGTTTCCAGTAGTGTTTCCTCAGATAAAGGGCAGATTTATATTAGAGATTTCTGGTAGTACAGCTATAGCTCCAAAAACCTTATATGTGATATAATCCTTTTCCAGTTTTGAAAGCATCTTGGCAATAGATCTTTTATTGATTTCCCCCATACAAAACAAAAAACTGTACTGGATCTGTACGGGAGCCCTTTACCTAGGGAATGGTATGCTACTGAATCTGCACCCTAAATAAATAAGAATAATAATGTGGTTAAGAAGGAAGCATTCCCTTTTAAAAAACAGAGAGTAGGTCAGCCACTGTCTTCTGTTCTCTGCACCACTTACAGACACTGTAGCTTCCTAATGGTCATGTATCCATCCTGCCAAAAATTCTTCTCATGCTTTAGCAGAAATGACCTTGCTTGTCAATGTGTGATAAGATACATATTATGAAGCATTTCTTACCATGCTGCCATAATATTTCTATAAAACTAGGAGAGGTTTTAATTCATTTAAAGATGAGTCTCTTCTCATGATCGTTTGTGTCCTTGAGCCACTGATAAAAAGTTACAACTATGAAGTGATTACAAACTGCTGCAAATGCAATTTGAAGCCAGGCTCTATTTTGAGATTCCATGCTCTGATATCATAGAAATCCTAACAACCTGGATTTGGATCCTGGTGAATAAAAACAGCTTAAATATTTTAGTGGCAAGTAGAATACATTAATATTTTACTTTGGGTAAGGAGTGCTCTTCTGGAAAAAATTTACAGCCTATCCCCATTACATGCACTTTGCTTCTCATTGCAGTGCAGTCTCAGAGCGTGCAAACCACATTCTTTTCCGATGAATTAAGCCAAAACTACCACTAATAAACATGTGTCAAAAAACTGCTCTTATTCCCATACTGCTTAAACTACATCTGGGCAGCTATTTGAAAGTCTTGTAAGTCTGCAATATTAAGTAATCAATTTTCTTAGGACCAATCTGAAATACTGGTCTACAGCCAAGTATACCTTTGAGAAAAGCCTGTAAGAAGCAATGGAGCAGAATAAATCAAAGCAGTACTGCAAACTTTGCTGTGGGTTGTAAATAGAAGAATGTGAGTAATGCCGGGACAAAAAATATTGGCACCATATTGGAGCCATGTAAGATATTAGATACATGTAAAGAACCTGTAATTATTAGATATTTGGGAGAATGGCTTTAGCTTCCCAAGCTAAAGCCATTTCTTTGACTCTGTTTGATATTCCTAAGCATGCCAGAGCCAATGATGAGAAGTGCCTACAAATTTCTGTTCCTTGTAGTGAAGGAATATGCCTCTGGTTTTCAATTTAGCATCATTCTGGGCTGACAGGTTCTGATAAAGTATGATTCAATTTATGTACCACTGGCCCACTACTGCTATTTGTAGAGCAGAAGTATCCATGAGAGGGCTGATATAGTAGGTCTCTAAAAAGAAACAATTGTGCAAAATCAATTTCATTATATGGTAATTTTACTCTTAGCCTGGTGATTATGATAGATGTTAGACTGACAGCATCAAAAACTGTGCCCACAAGTCAGGGATTTGCTCATAGTCTCCTGACAGCTGCAGGGACAAACTGTAAGAGTCGGTTTACTTGTCACATGGGAGGTGCATAGATTATTCCCTCAGACAAAAACACGTCATAGTGATAGTGGCTTTTATCATATGGACATCAGTCCTGCTAAAACTGCACTGGAGCTCCCAACTAATTTCAGATAAACTACCACAGCCATCAGCTGATAATGACTTCCAGTTGCTCTTGACATTGGCCATAGTTACAGCAGTAACCTATAAGAAATGAAAAGCTCTGTGTGTCATTACCAACCCCCCTGAACTGTCGACACCAATTATCGTATGGAGGATGTTTCTCCTTCGGCAAATAATCTTCAGGCTTGCCTTCATGCAGAAGAAAAAAAAACTATTCTGCTGTTTTCAGATGTTAGAAATGTCTCCACAAGAGCACTTGTGGTTTCTCAATACCAGTGTAAAGAGGAATTGATGTATTTCTCTTGTAAAGTTCTTCTGTGGGATGCATTCAACTGTTACCCCTTGAAGTCCTGAGCCTGTTTCCACTGAAATCCAGTGGAAGATAAGACCACCAGGCATTGATCTTAAATCAGCATAAGCTTGAGATGATAAATTAATAGCCTTTATATATAGCTAAGTCAGCCAGAAGTTTTTCCAGAGTGGTAACTCTGTCCCTATTTTTAAAAGACACTTTTCTTTCTTAATAACCAGACACTCTAAATAAAAGCACCAATAATGCTTCCCTCAAAAATTGCCTGCCTGTGCTATTTCTACAAAAAACTTTCAGCTTTCTGAGAAGGCTGGAGTGTTTTTCATAGCAACCTTTTTGTGCTGAAGCTGTTTCCTTTCTTCTTGTACCAGCTATCTTATTAAAGCTTCTAGTATTCCAACTTTGGCTCCTTTAATAGCTTGGCTGGCCTTCATGCCCATCTATACTGCAAGGAAAATGGTATACCCCCTTCCTTCAAGGTCCCACCTCAGGCAGGGTGGCCATGGCACGGTCACTGTGTCCTGATTTCAGGCAATGCCACTCCATCAAGCTCTTATTAGTACAGGAGGAGATAGCAAAGTGTAGATGGGTGCCTGCAGCACTGCATAGGGTGCCTGGCAGTTCTTGCAGGCCCACCTCATCCTAGCAGGGACACAGTAGCCCTTTGTACACAGTACAGTTACCCTCTTCTTGCAAGCTGAAGTATCCTGCCTGCTCTCCTTGTAGAACATGAGAGAAGGGCCTCTACTCTTTTGGTTTGGTCCTATAAACTTTGATGGCATCCCTCTGAATTTCAGTCTGGTGGGGGGAGTGGGGTGTGTGTTCATCCACTGGTTTTAGGAAAAGGCTGATGCTGAAGGTAAGACAGTGTGAAAGGGAGATGTAACACCATCCCTCTCAGCCAGAGCTGACTTGGTTTTTTTTTATTTCATATATTAATTTGAAAAAGAGGCATTGTACTTTACCATGTTTCCACAAACCACAAATAAATGGATTTAATCTTTCCTAAATTAAGATAAAAAAACTTAATTTTTTTAAGTGGTTTTAAATAGCTTCTGTTTCTGTTTGTTTTCATAGTTTGTTTTTTTTTTAATGCATGGTATTTTTAAAGAGAGGTTTCTATGGTTGTTGCTCAGCACCCAAAGTACTTCTGTGAGTTTTTAATCAATTGCAATTTGACAAGTAGATTTTTTTTGCTTCTTACAAATTGGGCAAGCAGGCACATCCTGGATTAGTATTAAAATACTGTCAGGGCATCATCGGCATGTAGGGGAAAAGCCTGAATGTGTTTTACCAAGAGTAATCTGAAATTTATTTGAACAGATGCAGTATAGTCCCTGGAAACTTTCAAACCATCTAATGACTCTCACATCTGTCTTTCTCAAAACACTCGCCTACATAAACTAAGTATATTGAAACTACCCAACTCACCACCTGCTCAACTGACTGCTTTCACAAAGCTTCACATCAGGTTACTTAATATTCACTCCAGTTTTATGAAGTAAAATTAATAAAACTAATAATTGTAAATATGCTTTTTAAAGCAACTTAATCTATGCTTACCCTCCCAAAATCTCCATATGGAGCTAAATCAGTGTTAGGATTTCCATCTTATTAGGAGAGAGCGTATTTCAGTGGCTGGTCTTAGTGAGTCCACAGGCACTGAATAGGATGAGAACATCAATCCTGTGTCCATCTGTCCACCTCTTCAGTTAATAATTAATTTTTAATGTCTTCACCAAGTTGAAGATTTTACAGCTCGACCTGCCAAGAAACACAACACTGTCGAGAACAAGACTTCTCTTAAAAAAAACCAAACAAATCCATTTTTCAGGTTCAGACATTTAAATAGGCTCCAAGCAAGTACATGGTATGCAAAGGTATTAAAAGACATTCTGTTTTTTCATTATATTATGCGGTTGTTAGTCAAAGACCAGATGATGTCTCCCTCTTTCTTGAATCCCCACTTTCATAAAGGATAATAGCCCAAGGGAAGAAATACAGTTTTCTAATAATAGCTGTTGTTATTACACAGGGTTAGTGCACAGAGACCACAAAATCATTTCAAATAGGGCTGTGTTAATCCATGTTCTGTAAAATTAGAACACTTCCAATGATTTGGCATTTGCTACTTAATTCTATTTTTTTTTTCATTCCTGTAGGACAAAACTTTGTTCCATCCGGTAAGCAGCAGCTGCATAGATTGCAACCCAGCTGAGAAGAAGATTTTCATGAACAGATGTGATCCTTTATCTGAAACTCAACAGTGGATTTTTGAACATATTAATATGACTGTTTTAGAAAAATTTAACAGCAAGGCCAGTTCCTAGAAGGAAAACAAAAGAAAAAATGAACACACCTATTTACATACAGACTGCAGACTACATTTTTGCCAGCATCTGGGTCAAAGGAGTCAGGAATTCTATTTCCTAGATCCAGGAAATCTGTTCTGAGGATTAAGAAAATGCCACAGCAAGAGCCAGCAGGCTGTCCTTGTGGATATACAGTATCTGGAGAACTTGGCCAAGAGCCTCACCGGATGCTGCTGAGAACTTCAGGCTGAAAATTCCCTTGCTGGTCAAGGGAAAAACTTTGTTTAAAAACTGTTTAAAAGTACTCCAAGTTAATAAAGTAAAACAAAACTCTAGAGTTTCTCAGGTCAAATCCTGCTGTAGTGAATAGCTCAGAACAGATGCTATGATTTGGGATGGGTTTATGGTGTGCATGACGCCTACAGGAACCTGAAGAAATCCCAGGTTTTAGAATTAAACATGCTGGTAGAAGAATAATGATGTCCCAGCACTCCCTAGACAAGATATGTGCTCTGTTGACATTCTCTTAATAAAAGGTTGGGTTAAGCAGGTTTAACCCTCAGAACTGCTGCAATTAATTTTAAATACCTCCCTTTTACATTCCATTCATTACCAAAATAGGAATGGTAGAAACCTTAGGGTCTAGAATTACACTGTAGTGAAGCATGAAATAAACTGTACGGTTTTGCCCTCACATTTTCCCCCTTCAGGAAAAATAAAGCAAAGCAATCAAATTTCTATATATGATATATTTAGCAATTGTGATTCAAATCCCATTGTCACACAGGGTGAGACTTTTTTTAGTGACAAATATAACAGCAGCAGCTGCAGCATAATGGAAGGCTTGTGGACTATCTGTCTTTTTTAAAGGTAGAATCTTTACCAACGTATAAATTAAATTGAAAATAGGCTGGGGAAAAAAATCAGGAGGAAAGTGGGAAATAATTGCATAGTGCATGCTAAACCAGGATAGTCAAATTAATACTGGTATGCTGCCATCACCTAAAAGCATGTTGACTCCCTGCAGTGCAGTTTAAAAGATCTTGCAGCGCTCTTGACAAAGAGGAGTGGAAAGAAAAATTGACAGGAAATCAGTTAGGTGGTTTCAGAGTTTTTGAAATCTGTGATGGAAATCATGTTAACTTTCAAGAGTGAGCAAGTGAATGTTATTGTAGAAGTCATGAGGGATGAAACAAGAAGTGCAAGCAAGTCACACATTATAATATTTTGGTACTTTAGGCACAGGCACCATTCAGGTTAACACAGACTTCCATCTCACTGATGATCATGATGGGTCCCTCATACCTATCAAGCTGTTGGAGAGAGAAGCCTCTAAAACATTTTGGGGAGGGTGTCTGTGGTTCTTCTCAGTTCACAGTGATGTGTGGAATGTGACTGATAACTTTGAGATTGTACAAGGTAAGAGTGAGTATAAATTTATATCAAGTAAATATGTGGCTTTCGCTTGAAAGACAAATTTTGAGATGAAAGCACCATAAATGCAGATAGATCACATCCTCTGTGCTGTAACTCCTTTCAGGTTCCAAAAATAGCATTTGTAATTAAGTTGCTTATTTTGAATGCTGGTGAGGTGGCTGACTAACCAAAATACTGATGTGCAATCCTACCCTGTTTTAAGGGAGTGGAGTGACTGTGTTTTGTTTATTTCTCCTTAAGTTCTGTTTATGCACAAAGAGCATTGATTGCATCCAGCGGATGGTTCCAGTACCAGTACCAGTACCAGTACCAGTACCAGTGTGCTGTTTTATGGCAGTATCTTGTAGTTGCAGGTCATACTAAAGGTTTAGGAGGGAAATGAAGTCCGATAGCATTCAAGATGCATGCACTTGGGAAATTGTGAAATTTCCAATATATTGAGCAATTGCTGCAAGTTATTGAAGCGATCTTTCAAATAATTTAAAGGGAGGTGTCCATAGAGTTGTCATCTTATGATTTTAAAATAAGTGAGTTTGTTTAGGTATTATTTAAATTTAATTTGAAGATATGGTGTGCTCAGGAACAGAAGAAATAAGGTTTCAGTATGAGGATGCTTCAGGTTTGTTTAGCTGTCAGTACACAGAACCAGCCTAGCCTTCGCAAACTGTCCATTTTCCCAGATTGGGTGCTCACAGCATCATTTATTTGCAGCCTGATCATGAGGAAAGAGGGTTTGGGAAAAGAAGAAAATGTCTGCCTCAAGTATAAATGCAGCCTTCAAGCTGCTGATTGTAACTGGCCCCAAACTGTCAGTCTTGGAAACAACACTGTATGCCCAAAATAGAGAGGCAAAGGAGGATTGCTAAACCAAAACATATTGGTAGGGTTATATTGTTCAGTGTCTGACTGCATCTCAATGGTCTGATTTTGAGATGTCTGATGGGAGCTAGGCTGCTCTTAGGGCAAAGAAATTCTATACGTTTTACAGCCCTTGTTGAGTCATATTGCACAATGCCTTACACTGCCAAAGGAAGCCTTCCACTTACTTGTAGCTGATCAGAAACTGTAAACTCTAGCAGTTCTTGTCAGAAAGCAATCCATGTGACTGCTAGTTGGATGTTGTGGGCAAAGAGAACAGTCCTTGCACAGGACTCCTTCAACAAAAGTTTTATCAATAATAAATGATCATCACTACCTTTCACTTCAAGTCTGTCTTGGGTGTTCTCCAAAGGTTTCCACTGATAAGAGTATTTCATTACTAATTTACCATTCAGAATTTCTTTAATTCTTCCTGCAACCTTATCTTTTCCAGCCAATAAACTTCTGAACAGTTTGATAGGTCAGGGACATGTATCTTCCTCTCATATTTCTCCAGGAGCATTTAACTCTAACACTTTTCTTCAAAAGACAATGAAATTTCTTCACAGAATTTTTTAAAATACCAGGTAGTATGAACATATTTTAAATGTAGAGGATGGGTGAAATTAAGTCATGTGGGCTCATCATTTCAGTGGAGCTATACTGATTTCCCCAACTAATGACTTGCTTCAGTTTTTTTCAATTGATTATTTAAGGCTTTAATCAAGATGTCTGAAAAGAAAATCTTTGTATCTTTCAGAGTTCATCTACTCTAAATGTTTTCCATTTAAGGTTAGATGACCATTTGACCATTTTTTCTGTGGCCAGCAAACTACTACAACTGGAGAGAACAACTGAAAAAACTGAAATAAACTCCAAGTTCAACTAAAACTCTAAAATAATATGCTTTTTTCCTGCATCTATTCCAGAATCTAAACTAAACAGAGACCTTGGGGCACAGGGCTCAAAGGAGAGAGGAGGAGGTGGGAAACAAAGCCTTTCATGTGTGGGAGAGCAGCCTTGTTGCAGAGAAATGACAAGGCTTCACTTTTCATTGGCCAAAGTCGTATTTCAGAAAAATGAGATTGCTTTAGAACAAATATTTCTGCACAGTATGGATATTTTAATAATATAATGCATTATTCCTGAGTGCAATCCGTTTATGAATAAATGGTCTCTAGCTGCTGAACTAAGTCTGCCTAATGATAAAGATAGACTAAGCTTGAAAGGAAGCTGACAAGCACTTAACAACCTTTGATTACTGGCAATTTACCAGGCATCAATGTCTCCAGTGACCTTAGTGAAATCTTATGCCACATAGAAGAAACGTGTATAAATAGCTTGACCAAATTGATTAGATAGGTGGCACTTCTGCAGGAGTGGATGTTACCTTTGTTTAAAAAAAAAGTCATAATCACAATTAATTTGCATTTTTTCTGAGAACTTCTGCAAGGGACTTATTGAGGGAGACCCTTTTAGCCTACCTGGATGGATTAGAGATGGATCATTTTAGGAAGGCAGTACTGGCAAGCTTTCAGTGTGGCTGACACCAGGGGTGCATCAATTTGCTATTTAAAGAGCATCTGTGATGCTGATAACCGAGTGCATTTCAAGAGAACACAGCACGCATGTTAAAAGAAAGGAATATGATAATGGTTTTATTTTTCTTTTTTAATCCATCAAGGTTGTTAGGGAAATAATTTCAAAGCCCTTAAAAACAACACAAGCTGACCAGAAGTAGTGCTTTTATAGCTAGTACTAGTATTATAATGTTCATTTATTCCTTTGTTTAACCCACTCCCAAATATGTTCCATATTCTCTTAAAAAGAGCACAAGGGTCCAAGAGTGTTTTTATATAACATTTTCAGGATCTTGCCCTGTCTGAAAGTTTTGGAAAGCCTTTAAAAAATTAGGAAATGTATAAGAGAAGGTAACATAAAAACCCAAAGGAAAATATTTATTATGTCTAGAGTACCGAGAGACTTTGCTAAAGGTTTCCTAAGATAGCATCTTTTGACTGGAAAATTTTAGATGAATAAGTAATAGAGTTATTAAAGCTTTAGTGTGTAGTGCTTTCTATTTAAGATTTTTAATTAAAAAAAAAATGTAGTGAATTTGTGTGATTAGCTGCTGACAGGTTGTTTGGGTTTTTTTAACCACATATAGTACATAAATCTGTTCTTAGGTCTCCTGAAATATTTCTCTCCTCATATTTCCTTGTTATAATTCTGAATGCACTGGATTTAAGAAAATCCAAACATACAAAAAAATGTTTGAAAGGTAAGAAACATATGTAAAAACAAATAATGAGAAAGTTTAGCTAGAGAAATTCAGAGAAATGCATCACATTTCCAAAGCTTCAGCGGCATTCAGAAAATACATTTCCTCTTTGGTTTTCTGTTCTTTCCATCTATCATTAATATCAGTGGGGCAGGACTTCTGAAACTGGTGTTACTAGCATTTGGACAGCACGGTGCCAGAGGAGAAAAAAATCTAGGAAGAACTTCTGAAAAAATTGCATTCAAACATTGCAATCTGGTGTGGCTTAAGATTCTTTGTTTCTTAGGCTTCTGTTATCTTAGTATTTTTTTCTTTTCCACTGAACCTGGCAGTGCATTAGGTGCTTCAGTGGGCCTTATGAAAACAATGCAGGCAACAGAGGAGCAAAGAGGACATGGGTTAAAACAATAATAATTTGTGGCTATCTAAAGGTGTGTTTACCACAGCACTGTAGGTTAATTGTACATAAAGAGAAGTTTGTATATTTTGTGCAGCCACTTTGGTGGGTGCTTCAGGGAATAGATGAATGAGAAGGAGCCTTGCAAAGTGGGCCAGCAGAAAAGCTTGTACTCAGTAAAAGATGTAGAAAAACTCAGAATGATGCATTTTATAGAAGCAGATGGGTAAGACGAGAGATAGATATCACGGATGGTGTACAGAATAACAGAATGTGAGGGGAGTTGCAGTGAGGCAAGTCTGGTGAGTGGTACTATCTTAAAGATATTAAGACGTAGGAAAGAAAAATTTGGTCCTCATTAACCTTAGTCCTCATTAATCTTATCAGGATCCCTAACACTGTCAGGATCCCTAACACTGTCAAAGTATTAGTTGATTTAATTAAGTTAATCCTTGATCTACCCACTAAATTACTCAGCCTGGAAGGAACCACAGCCCAAGCAAATTTCTGCTGATCACTCTGAAGCATCTAATTGGCAAACCTTACCACTAGGCACAGTTTAGTAAAAAACCCCAATTGGAACCAGAACTAAAACAATCAGCCCAAAAGATCTGTAGGCCTCTGGCATCCCTCTGTGAAAAAAAAGACTAGCCTAAAGGAGTGATTGATGGTAATGATCCTAGATTAAGAAGATCAAGAATTGTGAGCTTTCAAGGAGGTGAAAGGCCAAATGGTGAGATTAGGAGTTGGCAGTTTAATTGAGAGAGGAAGGAGGAAATAGGTGGTAAAAGGGAAAACATTGGAATTGGGTTTAATTCCGTATATCAAGGAAGTACGACCTACAAGGGCCAGCCTCTGATAATTTTGGATACCTCTTCATAGCAGGGCTTGCATGTTTATTTCCATCACAAATATTCAGGAACTGGAAGGCAATCAAGCCCTTTT